GGGGGGACACATATCGTAATCGGTGGCGCGGAGGTATCGACGACGTCGCGCCTAAAAATAAAGTCACGAGCGTCGGGCATCCTCGGACTGACGCAACCCCGCGACTTGCCAAGCGCTTTTCTCGGCGGAGGATGGATTGCCGGGGGCGTCCACGAAAATAGGGGAGGGTTTTCGCGCCGCGTGTCATCGGATATATCAGAGGGCGTTGGTGATTTGTCTCGCGGTCGCGTTAACCCTTCGCATTTTTGTAATCTGTATGGTGAAGATTTTTAACTGAATTTAATAAACATCACTGTTATCTGGTAATATGTGAATTAAAATGGGAGACTACGTTGTTGATACCAATATTCAACGTTTGACGATTATATTGACACTTGTAATGAATATAAAATCAAACTGCTATGCTGCAGTTAGTCGTAAACTAAATTTGATCGAAGTATTCGTTATCTATAAATTTGAAAATATTGTTTGGCTCGTGAGGAATTTTGAATGCTTCGGACCATAAAGGATTATTTTTAAAAACCTTCGTCTGGAAAAGGTTAGATAAAGGAATACTCTTGACAGCAAAGAGTCAATATTTCCAAAATCTGCCGACTACAAAGGGTTAACATCTCAAAAATTCCACCCCAGTAGAAGACCAATCAATCTTAAATTTCTCCTGGTGCACAACGAAACAATTCTAAACGGTCTCGAAAAAGATCACGAGGCAAGTGGTTAATAACCGGCTGGGCATTCTACAGGTGCCCGAAACGCGAGGCGCGCGCGCCGCGCTGATCCGTCGAGCAAACACGACACGCCGCGCGGCGCGTATTTTCGGCACCGGGTTGGAGGAGCTCCAGGTGGCGGAGGAGGAAGTGCGCGGTTGTATGTACATACTTACGTGCAACCGTCACGAGGAACGGGACGAACGGTCCCCACTGATGCACATTATCGCGATCATACCACGTGCATCCTCATTATTCATTGAAACAAGATGGAAAACTACCCGGCGCGGACTATTTTCGAGTACCGTCTCGCGGCGATTTAGATGTTCTCGAGCCGGTCGATCTATAAGAGAGCACGCGCGCGAAACTGTAACGGGTGTCCGCCGGGGATTCTTGGACCGTTCGCCGTAAGATAAACGTTGCATAGTTTTATGAATGATTTTAAAACGCTCGGGATCGTACCAACTAGAAAATATTATATTTTTGGGGAGAATTCTCAGTGATTTTCTACTTTACAATCTCTGATCAAAGTGTTAGTGTCACCCATAGTTTTCAACGTTTTTCACAGGAGTAAAAAATTCAAAGGACAGAACGTCATTTAATAATAACATTTATTGATTATAAAAGTATATACATGTATATTAAATAAATATTAATAGTTTGTGCTTCCCAGCGTTTATAGTACTAAATTTATTTCGAAACAACACAGAATCAATTTTTGCGTCTCATACATTAAACTATATAAGAACCTGTCGGGGGAACATTTATTTATGAATTCCTACGAGACAAAAGTATACCAGATGAAAACAGTTATTTTCAGATGAAGTAGGTTTGAGTGTTTCATTGTTTCATGAACCAGAAGATGAATGATTTGTAGACGAGGCTAGGACGTTGCGAATTATTTTTATCAAGAGTTCAAGGAGACGTCATCGCACGAAACGAAGAAGTGTTTCGCATCGTGGTCGCATATAGACACCTTTCCGGAAACGTCATTCGTGTAATTGTATGCATTTCCTTTTTCCTACGTCGCTTATATCGAATTTACTACTGGTGGAATTACACCACCAAGCGGATTATTTTAAAAAGCTAACTTTAAGCTTGAAAATCATGTGTAGTGACGGACTACCTGTGATTCGAGTGTTTGTTACCCTTTTTTGGATGTACTTCGGATATAGAAAGAGAAATTGAAAACGTTGCCAGTTGAAATTTGTTTTATTTCTTAATTAAGCCAAATAAACGACATTTCGCACGAAATCCGTTAAATTTATTAAAGTAAATTGAATTTTCGATATTCAAATAGAAAGATGTAAAATGATGCGATTTCGACATAACAGAATTGAAAGTATAACCGATTTTACTAATTTTCAGTAGAAAATTACGGTTTTGATGACATGTAATGGTAGAACATAATTCATTAAATATATAATATATTATAAAGAAGACTATATTGATTTACAGTAATTAAAGATTAATATATAACAAACAAAATAATTATTATTAATTATTATAATAAGAAGAAAAGGTTTTGTTAAATTTTTTAAAAAACATTCAACACGATTACTTCTCTGCTCACATCCCTTCCCTGCAAGATCTCCATCGTTCAGCTGCACAGACTCGTGCCAAAGGGAAAGAAAAACGTGGAAAGGGATGTTTTTTTTCTTGACGAGAAGAAAACGGGGTCATTAAGCGCAATCCGGGGACGAGTCGATCGGTTCGATGAAAGAATGAATGCTTCGTTCTGCCCTGGTCTTTAAACCATTTTAATTAGTGAAACTGTAGAAAAGCTGTCCCCTCTTCGTTTAAAGTGTAGTGCTGTTTAAAATGCTTCCTAGGAAAAATCTTTTTCTATTGCAATTTTATTTTCCTAATTATATTCGTAAGTTTTAATTTGTATAAAGATCCGCAGTCTAGTAGTACGCGAATAACTAGTAACTCAGTTTCCAATAAATATATAGTAATAGTAAGTCAATAGTAATACTATAAAAGTACTTGCAATAAATATAAAATAATATTAAGGTGATAGTAATACTAGTACTTATTTGGAAAGCTCATTTTCTATTGCAATATCATTTCTCTAATTTTATTTGTAAACGTTTTAATTTGCAGAAAGATCTGCAGTCTACTAACAAGTAAAGAAGTAATAACTTAATTTACAATGACTGTAAAGTAATAGTAAGTTGATAACAGTGTAACTACTTACTAGGAAAAACCTTCTTCCATCGCAAATCTATTTTTTTATTCATATTCTTAAGAATTTGAATTTCCATAAAAATCGACAGTCTACTAACAAGTAAACGAGTCGTAAATAACTTAGTTTACAGCAAATATAAATTATACAATAATAAGTTAACATTGATACGTTTATTTGCTAGGAACAATCTTTTCCGGCCATAATTCTACATATATTTCGGATCATATTCTGAACAATTTGAATTTCCATGAAGATTCTCAATCTGCTAAATACTATAATAATACGATGGAGACAATAGTCCGTGACCCCATCTCGCCAGATCGTCCCCTCACGGCGCACCATTCCGAAAACTATCCGGAAACGCCTGGTTCTTCTTATAAATCGGCAGCGGTGCACTCCCTCTTTCCTCGGTCGTGTCATTTAGCGAGAAGTTTCTGTCGGGAGATGAAGACGGGGAGGGAAGAGAGAGAGAGACAGATGGAAAAAAGGGAAAAGCACGCGATCGCTATTTAAAAGGCTCGTAGGTGGGTGGCTTTTTAGCCGCGGACGTGCACCGACGTAGGGAGAGGGCTTCGACTTCGCTGTTCGGCCTCGGCATGGGGTTGCCGTGCTATTTTCAGGCCGGTGGCTCGATGCAGCTGTCGTGTTCCTCGGGTAAACCACCTCTCTTCTATTCCACGGTCACTCGCGGGACAAGGTAGAACGTACTGATCGGAATTCCGAATTCAGCATTCGGCGATTCGCCGATCCCCTATTTAATCGGGAACTACGATATGTGTTGAGGTTTAAAATATTGGAAATAGAGAAAACTGTATGTTAACCGTTTGCACTAGAGGGGCGATTCTTGGTTACCAGTTGATTTAATGCAGCGGAATTGTGAAGTTTGGTACTTAATATTGAACTATTAATGTTATACTACTAATAACTGTTGACAACTATTGATAACAATTGATAATTATTGATAATTATTGATAAATATTAAAATAAAATAGCTTTGTTCCTTAATTTACGTGAGATTTCTCTGCAAATTAGCTGCAAAAAGTGTTGCCTACGTCTCATCAGAAAATGTAGAATATTTTTAAAGTAAAGTTTTCAAACGCAGAAGGTTAATCTCTCGTTATTCGAATAATTCAATTATTCATTTGCAGGTTTTGATTTTATATATTAAAGCTCGAAGTCACCATTAAGGCGGTATTTTACTGCAAAGAGTTAATATAGATACATTTCTCCCGAAGATTGTTTGATTATATGAGTACTTAGCAGTCAGTCTTTCAGTGAACTATTAATTACGGAAAATAAGTATAAAAATCATTGTTTTCGACCATTTTAAAAGACTGTAGTACTATCTATATCCATTCGAACAAATGTATTAATTAACTTATGACTCTAAGAAAAGAGTAAACGACTTTGGAAGAATACAATCGATCGAACAAAGAAATCTTGTAGCGAAGTTACAATTTCGTGGAAAGTAAAGCGGAATGAGAACCATTTAATTGACCGCCTCCAGCGAAGAAGCACGGTCTGGAGAATGGAGGAGACTCGCAGATGAAGAAGATTACAAGATTCGAAAGTTCTTGGCAAAGAGCCAGACGAGATTTTCAGCCGTCTACGTGTACTTCCAACTTTCATCTGTCTCCTCTTCTAGCGCCCGTATACGTCCTCTAGGACCTAGGGTGCAATGACACCGGGTTTTAGATGACAATTTTCTATTTACAGTGCACTGACTCATGACACGAGTACTCGCTCTATGCGAGCAATTCGTTTATCATCGGTTTCTGCGGCCGATCAACACCGTCAATCCGTTGAAAACGTGTCAACGGTCGTGAACGCTAATTATCTTGCAACGATTTCGTTGAACCAGCAACGAAAAGGAAGTATATTTTTCTATCAAGTCGTATAACAATTTCATTTTCATAAAGTCTTATTTTACAAGTATGGTGGCTGATGAAATATACGAAGACATGTATTGACTAAAGTGTGAATACAGAGGAAAAGCAATAAAAAAAGATCAGACGATATTTATTGTATCTCCAATGAAATATATTATTATTTGTTACTTATGCAATTAATTGACAAGTGTTTTCAATGTAATATATTTATTAAATATTGTTACACTATTTCTTACTAAAATTCAATGTCTAATTCCAGAAAAATATCTAAGAATATCGAGAATATTTACTGTCCTTATTTCATTCTTTTATGTTCTCCATGGTCCACCATTTTATCAAGACAAAAGGCGGGAAAGTGAATTCGATTCGAAACGCGTTACTATCGTATCAAGAAAACAGCGAATTACTCATGGATATTGTTGACGTTCAAAGTTGTATCATATCGCTAACTATGTTTAACACTAGATTTACGTAATCCAATTTGACTTATATTGTCTTTTATAAACATTTATTGGTAAATGTTTCGGTGGTTTGATTGAGGCAGATACGCAAATATGTATTCTAATTGTCTTCTTTGAAACTTCTAATGTCTAAAATCTAAATAAACGAACATTAATTTCTCCAAAAGTGATAGAATAAACTGTACAATAAATGTCCACAAAATCTAGCGTTAACTTGTATTTATATTATTATTAATGGGCCTTTAATTGCAATCTCATAAAGTTTGTAAGCTTATGATTTTCGGTTGTATATTTACTCTAGAGTAAACGTAGACATAAAATGAGCGTGTAATGCCTTCTTTCTTCTAGTGAATTAGAAGCAATAAAATGGTTCTAATGAACGCAGCTGTGAAAGAAATCACAGGACAAGGGGTTAAAAGCCTAAAAGACTACCTGTATCACTTGCTGATCGCTATTGACCCCGTGTAGAAGCTGTTAAAGCGTACAAAGGAAACGCGACAAGTTGATGATTCACCGGAGAAAGAGAGTTAGTCAAAGCATGGACAAAAAGAAATAAAGGAAGCCGGAGGAACAGGGGAGAAAAAAGGAGGAAAAAGAGAAACGAAAGAGTATCAAGGGCAAAAAAATCCGGACCGGAACGACCCTTAATTTAGTTTCGGGTGTAAGAGGTTAACGCAGGGTGGGGACATCCGTGGAAGTGGTTCTGCGAGGGGAGAACACCATCGTGGAGCACGTTGGCTCATGTTTGGAGGAATGTCGTTGGATA